GAGCAGGAGTGGGGAGAGGGGCAGAAGGGCAAGCCGGCAGGTTCCCCACTGAGCAGGGAGCCCTGGAGCCTGGGGCAGGGCTCCATCCCAGGACCCCTGAGATCATGACCTGAGCCAGAGTCAGAGGCCCAACAGACTGACCCACCCAAGTGCCCTCTCTTGCAGTTCTTTTTTTTTTTTTTAAGATCTAATTTATGTATTTGTCAGAGAGAGAGAGCACAAACAGGAAGAGTGGCAGGCAGAGAGAGAAGCAGGCTCCCCATGGAGCAAGGAGCCTGATGGGGGACTGGATCCCAGGACTCTGGGATCAAGACCTGAGCTGAAGGCTGATGCTTAGTGACTGAGCCACCCGGGCGTCCCCCTCTTTTGCAGTTTTAATTGAAGTTTGACCTGTCTACATTAATTTATAACCCTGATATGTTATTTTTCCACTTTTATCAAATAAGATAAAGTATAGTTTATGATTTTTGGACAAAGTGATTATTTTAACTCTCCATTCATAGTACGTGACTGGGAGAAGTGAAATCATATATGAAAACAGAATTTCCACTGAAAATCAAGGAGGTCAAATCATTATGTAAAGAAAGTTAGGAAGTTACGCAGTAGCCTTTGAAGAGATGCCAGAAATACATGAAGAGATACTCAAATAATCTACTTTTTAGATTGTTTTATAGCAAGCAGTTTCAAATTAATCTGTATTTTACCGATAAATATTCCACTAGGGTTCTTGTATATATTAGGAAGTCATTTTCAATCACACTACATCAACTGACCTCCAATATTTATCTTGTTTCATATTGTTGGTCTTACATAACATCCTTGATTAATTTTCAGGCCTTGAGGTGCTATACTGTGAATTAGGAATACAGCCCACTAAATTAATAAATTATCACTGTGGAGGCACTCTTGTCTTCTGAATGTATAAGTGCATTGCTTAAATTACTCTCAGGGAATAATTTACACATGAAGAGGCTCTGGTGGTTAAAAAAGCTTTGTATATTTCTTATCACTGGAAATAGTCCTAGACTAGGTGCTTAAATGGATATCAAAGCAATTGTTTTTTCAAAGCAATAATGATTTGTACTATTCTAGGGTTCCCAATACACTATCCTAGAATCATGAATTAAATATAATGTTAAAAATGTAACATTTTGAACCAAAAATTTCCATAAGAAACAGGGAGACTGTTTCAACTGAGAAAATATGCTCATGATCTTGAAAAGGCTTAGTAAGCTTTCTTTCATTGTGAATTTGTTTCTTAAAAGAGCTGCAATGAGGTGAACATAGAAAACACTTCAGATCAAGGAAAGGAAATTAGGACTTGGCTGTTGCAAAAAAGATATCAACACCCCTCCCACCTTATCTGAGTATTAACCAGTGGAATTGAAGGCAACGAATCCCAACTTCCAATCCTGTGCTACTATTTTTCTTGTCCTTGGGATGTTCATGACAAATTTGTATGCTGCTTGCTTATGTGTGACACAGATCTCTATCCCAAATTTAGGTAAGAAGAAATTTTAAAAAAAGCATTTGGTGATACTTCTCTCCTGGGTCATAAACTATTATAACAGGAACCCTGTCATTCTTATTTTCTTACAGCCTAACTCTCTGGCTGGCCCATGGAATGAGCAAAATATGGTTTTGGTGAATGAACACATGAATAAAGAATACAGAAAAAGTACACTATTATTTTAAAAAATCCTTAATTATTTTGAGTCTAATATTTGTCAGATGTCTGGTTAGTGTCTGTCCCATTATTCTGTTTTTCCCCCCCATATATCTTCTTCCCTTTTCCCCCAAATCCCATACGGCAAAGGATGAACAGTGGATAATTTTTATTGATTTGATTATTGGAGCTTATGCATGAATAATCTATCACAACAAATAAACAGGTAAAATCATATTAAGAAGAAATAACTGCTCCTTAACACCCTAATTACTCTTTACAGTACCTCTTTATTTTGTGCCGGAAACAACCAAACTGGCCTCAACCTCCACACTAAACAGAATTATTGTAAATAAAAGTGCTGGAGCCAAAATAATGGTTGAAGAGCTACGTTGATGATCAGGAATTAAGATCTGTCCCAGACACTTTCCTTTTTTTACTCTTCGTCACACATTTAATTTGAAATGATAATGTCAATTGCTTTTCTTTTCTGCTCCTCAAAACTAACCTCACAGTGTTTCATATTGTGCTATATACTAAGTATGAATTTCAATAAAGTAGTTGCTTTTTGGATATTTTTATCCCTAAGCATTTCCACTAGAAAATTTTTTTTGTGGGGGAATATTTAGTACTGGAGAAGATTATCTTAAAATTGATTTGCAAAATATCTTCTATAATTGCACTGTTAAGTATTCAAAAGCTTTCTCACGTTTTTACCTCATTTAGAGCGCAAAGATCTCCAGGTATGCTGGACAAAATTAATCTGCGGTTATTCCTGTTTTGATAGCTTTTAATTAATAGCCAACTTGTTAGAACAGCTTATGAATGATACATTGAAAGACTGGCATAAATTCCTTTGCCCAAAAGTTGAATCCGTTGTAATCAGGATTGTTTTCTTTCTTTTTCTCCTCCTTCTGGTCTTTTTGTTGTAAAGAGGTCACGTAAGGACGTTGGTGGAAGGGCTCCATGCGCCATCTACTGACCGAATTTATGTTTTCAGTGCCTAGGGAATGAAATTTACCCCTACGGTGGGTTTTTAAAGGAGTCTTTGAGAGAGGAGGGGTAATAGGAAAAGACCCTCTCTGACTCTAAGGGTTATTGGTGCCTCCTGGAATAAATTTTAATCCGACAAACACATAATTCAAAAAAGAGATACCAGTCCTTCAGCGCAGGAACAAGTTACAGAGAGAATCACAGGAAAGTCCAGCTGGCATTGGAAGAAGTTAGCCAAACTCTAAAGTCACCTCAAACTTATAATCAGATTGCTGTTTTTCACCTGTGGGTTGAACTACACTCACTGCCCGGTGGTTGCTGCCTTATAGGAAATGGCTTTATCGAAATGGCACATCCAGATAATCATCAGTTCCCTATCTTATTATTCTAAAGGATTTCTAATTATCTCATCAAAAAGCAAATAATGCATAGCGAGAAGGTCCACCCTTCACGTGGATGCCAACACACAGCTTGTCTATGTCTACGTAAACTTAGTTCTGATACACACCCACACACCCACACACACACCCCTACTTGTACAGATAGGCAAGATAATATGCATCTGTGTACTTGTGGGTCAGTCGAGAAATAGCCCTTGGATTTGGATTAAAATGTTTCTCCCCTCAAGCCAAAGAAGTTTTCTAGCTTGTAACTGGGGAGAGGTCAGAGTGTCAATTTTAGTAGTTCAAAACACTGGATTTAGAGTAATGGATTGGAAATTAAAGTTGGCCTGAAGTGCTTGGATCTGATTTGGGTTCTCTTTCTGTGAACAGCTGGGAGAACTGAAAACTAGCAAGGAGGACTCCAGATGCCTCAGGAAACCTCCTTCCCCCTCTACTGCTCTCTTTAATCCAAGGGCTGAGACAACTTGCTTTCGTGGTTTTAAGAAAAGAAGAAAACCAGAAAGTTGAGCCAGAAAGAGGAAAAGAGGCAAATAAAGACAGGAAGCCAGGGAGAAGAGAATGAAGCCAAAGGAAAATTCAGAAAAAAGATGGGAGGCGAGGGAAGGGGAAGAAAGAAAACAGACAAAGACGGGCGAAAAAGGAATAAGGGCTAGGAAGAAGCAAGGATCTTTCTTTAACCAACCGGAGTTACACCCATCTTTCACTTTCAAATCAATTGTCTAGATCTTATCCGTTTCCTTTGTGAAGGTTGTCGGAGTTGCTGAAGGAAGCTAGTCAGTACTCCTCCCCCCACCCCACGCGTGATTGCGCTACTGAATCCTCGGCCACTGAGACCCAATACCCGAGTGGGAACGTTTGCAGGAGCGCAACTCTGGGAACACTCTTGCGACGGTTTGTCACCTGGGAGCATAACCGGATTAATACCCAGAGTTGGATTACGCTGGCTGTCACCAATACGCCTAAAGATTATAATCCAATTTATGCACATTACAGCCAGTATTAACTTTATCTGCTATTTTAAGACTCCCAGTTGCCCCGCGTGTCCTCGGAGGACAATCCTCTAGGTTCTGATGCAACCTACCAGGCTGTCAGGAGGGGAAACCTCCCGAAGAAAACAACTCTAAGCCTGGTCCCTGAGGGTCTGCACCCGGTACTCCCAGGTGTCTCGCCTTCACCTGGGCACCGCTTTGTGATGCCTCCCAGCCGGGGATTACCAAGCGGGAGGAGTTCCCTTGGAAGGAAATAGCATTTTTGTTCATTTCATTTTTGAATTTTCTGTGGCGGTGGCAGAAGGGCTGGGAGTGGAGCCGGTGGGCGGGTGCCTGGGAGTAGGTGGGGAAGGGGGCCGGGGGATTGTTGCGGGTTATAACAGTCTCAGCGATTGCTTTTTGATGTTTGTTTGTAGACTGGCATTGCTCTCGCTCAGTCCTTAAATAAGTTTGTTTGGGCGTGAATTCTTGCCTTTTCAGCACAAAACCACAAAAAGACACGGTGGAAAGTAAACGAAAGCCCCCTCCTTCCCCTCCTTGCCCCCCCCCCCCAGCATGCTAACGCCGAAGACTTGATTTAACACCCCTTCTCCGGCTGCTGGGGGCTCTAGGCAGTGGCTACATTCCAGCAGTTTTAATCCGTTTTTTATTGTAGGGCGAGAGGAGTTTACATAGGGGCTGGGATGGCTCCCCAGCTGGCCACTCTCCCCACCAGCGCCCCTTCTCCGCGCTCTGCTCCACCTCCCCCTCCACCCTCCCCAGTAGGAACCTGTTACTTTAAGCAGGGCGTTCCACTGTGGCGGTGCGGGCGGCCGGGGTTTCGGGAGGTGGCCGGTGATTGGCTCCTTCGAGCTCCCCCTGGCTCGCTCTCTCGGCCTCCCCGCGCGCTCCGCCCCGCCCGCGCGCCCTCCCTCCGCCCCGTAAGGCTCTGAGCCCCGGTGTCAGGCGCCACGGCGCATGCTCCGGAATCTCATCCTCTGGCCCTGGAGCTGCTGCTGCTGCTGCTGCTGCTTTTGCTTTTGGGGCTGAGTTTAATAAGCGAGCGAGCGAGCGAGCAAGCGAACGCGGGGGAAAAAGGCAGAGAATGTCCGCCATCTACCCTCCGCTCCCGGGCGCGCTCTCATTCATAGCAGCCTCTTCATGAATTACAGCTGAGGGGGGGCGGGGGAGGGGGGTACCACACAACACCCCAGCAAACCTCCGGGCCCCCAGGCATGGCTAGCTCGGTAAGTACATGCAAAAATAATAATAAAAGATCCCCCTCCCCGCCTTTCCTCCCTCGCCCTGCGCCGCCGCCGCCGCAGCCCAGACAGCGCCAGCGCTCCGCGGTTCCAATTAGAGAAAGGTTGGTACGGCTTGCAGGGAGCTGCTGCCTCTCCCTCAGCCTCCGCTCCCCTCCCTCCCTTC